TTATTATTATCATTATTATTATTATTACTATTATCATTGGTACCAGGTAAGATGAAGCAGGACGGCTATAAGTTCGAGTACTGCTCCAAGCCCCAGACCTCTGGCACCTACAACTGGCCCCCCGGCGACTACTGTATAGCGATGAGGGGGAAGAGATGTCCCAACAAACGTAAGTCACTTACAAATATTTTATGTATGAGTCATTTTCAAAAAAATGTCGCATTTTTTAAAGTTTTAATTCCCGACCTAATTCCTTGGATACCAACATAAAATATTGCTTAGAATTGCCTTTCTGAACAAGACAAAACGTTCCTTGACCTTAAAATCAAGTTTTCAAAACTGTCCAAGTAATAGAAATTTTACAGCTCTTTTGTAAATCTTGCTTAGTAGGCAAAAAATGGCAAGTTCCGCAACACGTATATGTTTTTTTTAACATGCTTAGGGATAAAAATCATGGCACCAGGGATTAAATATTTCACAGTTATACAGAGTATTGGACAGCAGTACCGAAGCAAAAAAAATATTGGTGCCCGTCCTTGTCTTATATTTGTTTATTAACTCTTTATCTTTTTGCTTAACCCATTTCAAAGTTCTCTCCTGTTACCCAGCATTTCACACAGATTAATGGTCCCTAGATATAAATGTATTTCTTTGAGATTTTGCGAGTGAAGACTCTCTTCATATTCCTTTATATAACATGAGACAGAGGAGCTTATGCAATGCGCGATTGAAAGATACAGAGTCAAGTTCAACCCAACAGGGTGAGTATCTGAGCATAGATATCCCTCCTGTAACCGTGCAAGATTTGTGATAACTCAGACTTGATAGCTGACGCATTGTTTATGCATCATGTTCATCTGTAGGTTATTCCTGCTCAAGTTTGGCCCAAACATGCATGCACAGATCGTGTGATCATTGAAACCCAGTCCCACTACTAAACATCATCATCGACGGGACACAACTTAAACCAGTTGAGGAATTTAAATAGCTTGGGAGCATGCTTACACATGACGGAAGACTGGACATAGGAAAATTGAAATCAGGACCCAAAAGCAAATGCAGAAACCTATAAATAGTCAGCACTACTCACCCAAAAACACCTTCCAATGGAAGTAAAAAGACAATGACTTATTCACAGCATATTCGTTCCAACACTGACTAACGATATAAAACAGGAAGACGAAAGACTTATAAACGAAACTTGACAGGGAATAAACCGGTTATGGAACAATAACATTAAAGAATGAAGTGGTTTGGTCATCTGATGAGAGTGACACCAAATCACCCAGCTTCACGAGCTTACAACTCTAATATGTCCGGAAACAAGGGCAGGTGCAGACCACGCAAAACTTGGCTGGATAGCGTTATAGAGGATAGCGTTATAGAGGATAGCTTTATAGAGGATAGCGTTATAGAGGATAGAGGTCCTCCAAAAGAATAACATTTCAACAACAGAAGCCACCTAAACTGCCCTTGATTGAAAATTGTACCCCCCCCCTCGACATCTGATGATGCAAGAGGAAGGATGAAGCAAAGTAAAAGGATCCAATCCTAGCATACTCTGAAGACATGAGACTCACTGCAACGTGGCAGAAATGGGCAGTAATGAAAGAAAATAGAAATCCTGAACGGTGAACAGAAGAAAATAAGATTCACTAAGAAGAGAGCAGAAACTGGGAGGCTGATGCCATTGTGGGCTTTATTCCAGAAAACGTTTCCACAGTACAAGTTATACGATTCGAATATTGACCATCAGTTTAAGGAAAGACATGGAGCAATCTTCAAGCCAATGAAGCAAGAGTACAATATGCTAACGTCGCTCAAAATTGTTTGAGGAAAATGGAAGAGGAAATACAAAGCACACACGTTGGGGCTTTGCAAAACCTGCTGTCTAAACTACACTTTACTCTCATTTTATATAATCTTTATACTGCGTGGTGTCGAGGAGAGATTCGGTTTTCGGACATGGGCCAGGTGTGTTGCTTTTCGGATCGGCATAGTGTGCCTTTGAAGGAAGTCTTTGACTACGTCGATCCATCTTTTTATTAGCCTTCCTTTTGCTCCCAAGCCATCGAATCGCATCTTGTAGACCTTTGAGGATGGCAGTTGCGGCCCTATTCTCATTACGCGTCCAAAACATCCTCTCGATATATTTCGTTTCGACGCCCACTTATTGTTTGATGCCTTCGTTCTTTTACATTGGTAACTGCACCCAGTAAATAACGTCTCGACAGATGTTACATGCTTTCAACATTCCCATCCATTCTTCGGTTATTCCTTTAGAGGATATCACTAATATAAGTGTTTCATTCTTG